AGACTCCCTTTTTGAGGAACATCTTGCAAGACCATAAAATAGAAAAGCACATAGTGTCCCATAAAAAGCTGTTCTGATGAGAACTGGAAGGTAACCAAGTGTGCACAATAGCCATGTAAAGATTAGAAACAGGGATCCCTCCTCCCAAAATGAATGGCTGTGCCACTACCATGGGGAGGTCGTACAGAAATCTTTTCTTCTCTAACAATGGACATAGTCTGGCTCGCGTACAGTTTGCAAGCCTAGGGGGTTAATGAATTTTTTTTTTTTTATGGTGGAATTTGCCTGGATCAGTGAGTCATCTGAAGAGTTTTGAGTTGGGAGCCCTGACCCCAGACTTCGAAGGAAGCAGGGCGGGCTGCAGACACGGTTGTTGATCTGTATTGAATCTGGACAAAGCAGGTGTAGGCAAAACAGTAACTTTGGCCATAAAAGGCCCTGAGACGGGATGGGGAATAAGGGCTGTACATGGAGGGGGAGAGGTACATGGGGGGACCTGGCCTTGAGGAGGGAAAGGTGGGCTTGGGCAGAGAGGGGAAGGCATGATGAGAAGAGCCCCTCGGTGAGACAGGGCCACACACTGTCTGAGCAACCTCCTTACATGTCCTCCCGTGAGTAAGGCGCTGGCCACCAGGAGGCTTGTCCCAGTCAGGGTCACTTCCTCCCACAATGGGAAGGCCCAAATCATCTCCCCGTGGGAGGAACTCAGAATGGAGAGAGCCAGGAGCCAGGAGGGAGGGAGGGCTGGGTGGTCAGCCCCCAGTGTTCTCCTTATCATCTTCAGGTGGTCCTGTCCCTCAGACTGGAAACCACCCACAAGCCCACCATGCCCAGACTTGGGCCGGAGGGGCTCCCAGGGCAGGCAGCACCAAATCTTTTAGAGCAGAAGGTTTCAAAGGTAGAGCATGAGGTCGGTATCCTGTACCCTGTGTCTTAATGTTCTGGCGTCTGGTAGAAGCCTGTGTGTTTTAACTGGGCTTCTCATCCTGGTATTTTATGAGCTCCCCTCCGTTTTACCTTGAACATCATCTCCCGCCAGTCAGGCAGAGTCTGGAATGGCCCAGCTTTCCTTGACAAGCTCATTTTTGTCATTTAAAATGAAAAGGTTTAGAAATGCTAGGAAACGGTTAGAGATAAGCCGACTGCAGCACGCTCTGGAGTGGCTCTGGCTTACGTTTTGTTGCCCCAGGCAGGGACAAGCCATCCCATTAGTACAGAAGGAAGCCTGTTTCTTACCCACTGCGTGCTTCCTCCCCAGGTGCCTGTCCCTCCCCCAGTGCTGCAGGGCTGCCTCTGCCTAACCCACACATTTCAGGGTCCATCAGTCTTGTAAAAGTTGTAATTGCTCAAGAGAAGCCTGACTATTGCTAAAAATAAGTCCTCCCAGAAGGACTTTCATAACCTGAGGAACATCGTTAGACAGCCCGGCTGGGGGTCTCAGCATCTCTCCAACAGCTGATTCCCAAGATGCTTTGCAGGAAGAGGCGTTGGGTTGGTGGGGAGGGACAAGGAGGACGTGCAGGGATCCCTGTGGGCACCTATGAAGAGAGATCCACATGACCTCTGCGTTCCCCAGATGGGGCGGCCATAACAAAGCACCACAGACTGGGGGCTTACCCAACATTTATTTTCTGACACTTCTGGAGGTTAGAAGTCGAGATCAGAGGGTCAACAGGATTGGTTTCTCCTGAGGCCTCGCTCCTTGGCTTGTAGATGTTCACCTTCTCGTTGTATCTTCACCTGGCGTCTCCACATGGCCTTTCCTCTGTGTGTGAGTGTCCCAATCTCCTCTCTTCCTATGAGGATACCCATTTTATGGGATTAGGGCCCACCCACATGACCACTGTTTAACTTAAATTACTTCCTTAAAAAGAGATCCTGTCTCCAAATAGTCGCACTCAGAAGTGCTGGGGTTAGGACGTCAGCATATGAATTGGTGTGGGGAGGACACAGTCCAGCCCATGACAGGCTCTCTCCAAATGTGCCCACTTAGTTTCTCAGTGCACTGGGCATGTCACCCCACAATGTCCTTGTGAATCATAACCAGCCATGCTTTTTCTCCTCTGGGAGAAAAGCCATGAACCTCCCACAGAACCTCCCACTGCTCACTAGGGGACACCCCCAGGAAACACTCAAGTTCTAGGGGGAGGAGGAGGCAGCGTGACCAATGTGCTCTCCACCTGGAACCACTAGTCATATGTGGATATTTAAACTTAATCAAATTTAATGAAAAATTCCATCTCTGTTGCATCAGCTAGTAATAGTGGCTCCCGTACTGACAAGGTGAGTAGAGAATATTTCCATTATGCACAAAGTTCTGTTTGATAGCGCTAGTTTGGGACTGACCTTTATTTCTGGAAAATTCTACCCTGATTTCTCTCAGTGGCCATCTTTTGAAGGTGTCTCCTATATCAACTGAACCCTAAGTTTCTGTGGGCAGTGGTAAGTGTGAGTTTCTTTGAGTTTCCAGCGGTGCCTACAGCTAAGTGTTCCTATGTCAAACACACCACAACCCCAGATCCTCTTAATTTTGGTCAAAGAGTTGCCTAAATCCTTCTCCAAGAACTAATGGGGTGGTGGTGCCAGTGTTCCCACGTACTCCATGTGCGTGGTAGCCAGGGCCCCACCGCACAGACAGCTTTTCTTTCTTTTTTTTGCAGAGGATCAGCACAGCCACAGGGGATGGCAAACATTACTGCTACCCACACTTCACCTGTGCCGTGGACACCGAGAACATTCGCAGGGTGTTCAACGACTGCCGTGACATTATCCAGAGAATGCACCTCAAACAGTACGAACTCTTGTGAGGCAGCCCTGGCGGGGAGGAGGGAGGGGGCGCGTCTTCTCGAACCTTCTCTCTGCCCGCCTTGCCTCCCCTGGCCACCCTGCCAGGTGGAGCATTTACTCCAGCACTGTCACCCCCAAGCCGTGGTCAAAAGTAGGCAGTTCCCAGTCTCATCCAGCTGCCGCCTGTCCTGTTCTGTGTTCGCTCCTGTGTGACCACCAAGCCTCTGGCTACCTCTGTTCCCCTCGGGTTTGGTTTGTAGCTTTCCTCTTCACTGAGCACAACCTTCCCCAGCGTCCCCACTTGTACCCATCTGTGTCACTGCAGACCACCGCTGTCACGCAGTGGGGTACTGCAGTGAAGTCTGTCTGGGCGAGGGCCCCTCTTATTCATCCACTCAGTGCTTTATTGATTCAGCGGGAGCTTTATAAATGGGGGAGCAATGGCCATTTTTCCGAATTATCAAGCACGATTTGTAGAAGCAGGGGAACGATGCGGTCAGGTGGATAAGTGGCCTCCCTTTCGGAGCTGAGTCGGCCCAAGAGCGAGGCCAGACCTCAAGTCACAGAGTGGAGGGAAACCCTCTTTTCAGTCCTCTTTGAGTCGCTGCCGACCTCAGGCATTACATTGGACCTACTTGGAGCCTTTTACATTTAGGCAGAAAACCTACCACATGCACCGCTGTCCTGTCTCCAAATGATTCTCTAGACTTTGATTATGCTTGGACAAGAGTCTCCTTCCATACCTTGTTGTTGTTGCTGTTTTATGGCTGGTTTATTATAACTGTACAGACCACCAAATGTAATATTATTTTATATATCTCCTTCAAAAGTCCTTGTAGGTCCTTGTGCCTTGATTACGGCTTTATCTGTAAAGAAACCGTGTTTTTATCGTGAAGAGCTAAATGTCAGCATTACCTGCTGCTTGCTCTAAAAAAGAGAATGGTATCTGTAGGATTTAGACTATTTTATCAGGTTAGTACTTTTAAAAATATCCTTGATTAAATATATACACACACACACATATATAAATTATACACATGAATTAGTCACATCTTACCATTTTGTACCCACATCACAAGCTTCTTACAGAAACCAAGGATTTTTTCTTTCCTCCAAACAATGCCGTTTGAATTTTTGCAATTTAAAGACTTTTACAAGCCCTCTGAGTAGAAATAGGCCAAGCATTCCCTTAGTCGAAGCTTTTGAACCACCCACTTGACCACAGTTTCTATTGTGAGCAAATAGCAAGAAGGAAACAGAGGGCGTCAGCGTCTGTGTCCAGTCTGAGAGTCAAAGGATGGCATCTCCATTTGCCCCTTGAAGAAGAAAGATTACGAAACCTTTATTTGAAATGCAGAATCAAAAACCTATGGCTGTTTCTCACACAGGAAAGATTTGCAAATGCAGCCTTATAAGTTATAGTATGGTACAAGATCTAGAAAGCAAGAATTACTAGAGCAGTGATGCTTTACATGTTCTGTCCACAGCCACGCTTGGAGGGCAGTTTTCTTGGGTCCAACAAAACCTGCAGAGATGTCCAAAGTTATATTTCAACAATACAAATCCAGAAGTGACAGCCTCACTGACGTCACTTCATTTCCTTTTAGTCTTTAATATCTTAAAGTTTACTCTGGAAGGCAGCATTTTATAATCCTTTATAAATGCATCCAGATTTAAATTCGACTTTTCCAAGAAAAAGAGGATGACAACTTTCCAGATGATCGATCAGGGTAATAAACACATAATTTACGGCAGCGTCACTCAATTCTGCACCTCTCATCCTTGTTGCGTAAAACCCTGATCTGAAATGAGACACATAAAGTGGCAATTATTTTCTTTCCGTTGCACTTTCAACGTAGAACATGGAAGAACACCAGAGCCACGCACCCCCAACGTGTGCCCAAAAAGCAAAGTTGTGTGCTCTTACGTACATTATCCCTCAGCAATCCCCCTGGGACTAAGCTTCCTATTCAGAGACAGAGCCAGGCTCACAGAAGACACACAGAAAGAACACATTTTATCTGGTGGAAAATTATCAAAACATATTTATTTTTAAATACCAAAAGCCACTTCCCAGTCCTTTTTTTCAAGTCCCTTTGGATCATGGATGGGCATTATATTTTAACAGCCTGGTCTGCTGGAGAGAAAATTAACCTTCTCTAAAAATCCGATTCCATGATTAGCACAGAAGTACAAAAGTCTACAAAAACATATTCCTGCTTGTGACATCTGTACTTTTATTATTTTAAGTGTACAGCTTTATCATATATAATAGGAGTTTGTGGACCACTTCGTAAGGGGACAGAATCAAACCCAGTGTTTGTGCACACACAACCCCGAGTGTGTTCCCGGGCCGCCGGCTCCATCCTGGGGAAGGTAGGACAGCCTAGTGCATGCAAGTGATGACTTTAATAGCTTTTACATATTGTACAGACACGATCTTTGATTATACATATATTTGATAAAATGAGACAAGACTTGTTGTAGAGTACACGTTCCATTTTTATAGCATGAGAACAGTACCATCAACTATTTATTCTGCAGGAATTTGCATCAGTGATTAACAGTTTCTGTGATGTGTATAAAGACCGCCTCCTTTGACCTCATCTCCTGTGAGCCCTGCCCAAGGTCCAGTTTCTTTGGCTTTGTTACTTATGACGAAATACACAAGTCTCCTGCTCTTTACGTTGTCTTAAATTTTCTGAGCAGGTTCCAGCCAAAAAGAAAAGGTGAGGGTAGAAGTCTGGAGTGGACTAACAGGAGGACCGCCAGGAGCCCAGCTGCTACACAGTATGTGGCCAGAACAGTAGCCTCGTGAGGCAGGTAGCACTTGGCAAGGGCGTACTCTGTGGGCGTCATACTGCCCTGGAAAGGAAATGAGGAGGTTAATGCTGCAGCAAGAGCCCTCCCACATTGCCACACAACAGACTTAGACACAGTTGAGGCAAGGCAGCCATCTTGGTTGAGTCAGGTGAGGCCAGGAAGTAGCTCTCCTCCTGAGAGGAAGGGGCACAGCCTTGGGCCTCCACAAGCCACCACCCACCAACCAGAAGCACTGGTGGAGACATGAAGGCAAGGCTCCCAGCGTGCTGAGTGGAGCTGAACCCTCCACTGAAACTAGCCCCTGGCACAGCAGGTCCCCCCCTATAATGCACTGGGCAACATGACAGAGATGCAAGACGCATGGAGATTTTACATCAGTGGGCACTGAGAAACAAGGACTACAAAGCCATTTCTCATGCCACTTCTGCTAAATTAAGCAACCTGTTACCCAGAAATGCATGGGCCGGGGGCACCTCAGTGGGCTTTTCTTTTAAGCATTTTTGCGGTGTGGACTGACACTGAGGAGTGGTCTCATTCACTTTGAACTTGAAAACATGAGGGTTTCCCCATCTTTTCATGAAGTAAAAGTAGCCACTAATTGAAATGACATGTCAAGTGCACTAGCCAGAGCTATAGCATTCTCCTGACATAAGACAAGATGATGGCGTCTGGCCAATGAAGACAGGCTCCGGTTTCTTTGAAAATTAGACACACAGAGCCTCCTATCTGAGGACCATACCAGGTCCATGGGGTTGACGCGTTCTGAAGGATGCCCAGCCCCCACCCCACCCCCTCCAGGGCCATGCAGCTCTCACGTGTCCCCAGAGAGGCAAGAGGTACGGGGAAAGGGGTCTGTGAATCAAACCAAGTGCACATGGGGAGGAGGGCAAGTCTGTATTCACAGCATTTGTATGTTTTTACAGATTGCAGCAATTAAATAGTTGATTACTGTGTTGATTTCAATACTTCTATGCGAGCGTTCAGATGAAAATAAATGTTCACATTACCATGATGAAGCTGGGGTTGTTTCTGTTCCTCCAACTGAAAGAGGGCACGCTGATCTCGGGGATTCCCGCCCCGTGGAGCACCTCGCAGGCACTGTGCGTGTGGCCACTCAGGATGAGACGTGGCCGCAGCCACCAAAGTAGCTACCACACCCGGTGGGGCAGGGGAACACAGCAACAGGTGGTCAGTGCCTGCACAGAGTCCCCTCAGGGCCCAGCGACCAGCCACCCACTTATTTCATGAAGCTAAATATAAAATCCCTACTTGGTCGGGGGCTTTATCTTTTCCTTAACATCCTTTGGTTGGCTGAGACCCTATCAAAAAGTAAGCTCAGGCTTTTAGGGAGACTCTGTCCTCCTCTCAGATTTTATATTTTTACAAATATTTTTATAAATTTATTTTATATTTCTATTGTATGATATAGTATGTCATCCACTATACAAATATATGTTTCTATAATATAAATATAGTTATAAACATATAAGTAAGCTCATCTGAATGAAGTGCCCCAAAATTAACTCTTAAATTCCATTCACATTTTCAAACACATTTAAGTTGATGAACAAAAACTCGGACTAAAGAATAGCTGAGGATATTATTACTCACTTGATATTAGGAAACAGAATTACTGGGGGCAGGGGAGGAACCAAAGGAGGACATGAAAACCTGAGCCCCCATCCCCTTATCCCCCCACTCCCACCCCCCAATGCCCCACTCCCCCACCCCGCCTCCAAGTGTGCCAATGGCTGTCCATGGCGGTCCGTCAGTCTCGTGGGTGGGTGGGCATCCCGCTCCCCCGCAAACCTGCTGAGAGGCCTCCCGGGAAAGCACGTCATACCGCTCCTTAAAGGGGATGCCCCGCTCTTCCAGAGGCGCAGCGTCCTCCCCAGAACAATTAGCATCACTCCTCCGGTAAAGCGGGAAATGCTGCCCAGATATTAGAGAGTCAGATGTGGGGGGGGGGGCGTTTTGGGCCAGATCTGGGGAGACAGAGCCGCGCGGTCCCCGCTCACCTGCAGGAGCACCGGGGCGGACACGGGCAGCAGCGGCACATCTCGGCAGGGGCCGGAGCCACGTTCCTGCTTGTGAGAAATCGGTTAACCTGGCAGAGCCGGCGTCCCCGAGCCCCGAGCAGTAGGAAAGGAAGAGGGAGCTGAGCGACGCAGGAAATACCAGGTGCAGCGACTGCCCCGTAGAAGATGCCAGAACAGAAGCCCCTGTGCCTTCGGGTGCTCCTACCTCACGGGAGCAATTCAGTCGTTGAGAAATTTCCAGGAGTTCAGCTTCCGCTTTGGAGCAGATGTGGCAGCCATCCCCTTCCAGGGCAACGCTGTTGACCATCACGAAACTGAGGCAGAGGGAGCAAGCGGACGGTCAGAGCCCCTGGGCTTCCCGTGTCCGGACTCTGGCAGTTCTGCTCCCATGACACAAAAGCTGAGGGGCCACAGTGTGAAGAAACCCATCCCAGAGTGGCCTGAAGCCTCAACTCGACTAACCTGTTTTAGGTTCGAGTTGATACTAAGAAGGCACCAGAGCGTTATACTGGGAGGGGAGCCTAAGATACAGTCAAAGGAGTTGGAACCTTGAATGCGTGAGAAATCCCTGAACAGTGAAGCACAGGCAATCTTCACTAACATCTGTACACGCAGCAGACAGGGCGAGGAGGGGCAGGGAGGGGGTGTGCTGGCCAGAGCTAACGGGTACAGATGACCCCAAACCAGGATGCTGGTAAAGCCAGGGATGGCTGCCCTCTACAAACCACTTTACCTAGATCTGTACAGACTACCGTTAAACAGGCTTTTGTTTCCAACACACATATCAGCTGGGCCTGAAGAAGGCACCTGTCAGTAAACACTGCTTGAAATTTAAAGAATCTTAGCGATGGGGAGCTAACTAAATGATCTGAAATACGATCAGTGGGTTTCATGTTTCTTAAACTCTATGCCTAAGGAAAAAGAACTGAAACTGTGCCCGGTCTTCATAGGACTCAGGAAAGGAAGCTGCTAGAGACTCAGTATACAGGTAAAGGGAGGGAAGGAGTGAGCATTGGTGGAGAACCCTTGACCTGGTTTCTGGGAGTGTCACAGGTCATCTCTTGTGACGGACCCAGTGAGCTGCCATGGCCAAAGCCATGAGCGCTGGACACCCACAGGGGCCATGATCGAAAGAGGAAGAGCCTTCCTCTCCCATCTCTTCTTCCTCCAGTAGGTCTGCAACCAGAACAACATGTACAGTCTTATCCACCACCCTGGGAACACACACCCAGACATGACAGGGCCCGGGGATGGCATGAGAATGGCCACACAGAGGGGGAGCTCACTGTCTGAGGAAAGGGTGAGGAGGATTTGGTCTATAAATCAAGGCTGATGGACAGGAGTTGGGGTGGCACACAGCTAAAGGACGGTGAACATACCCGCCCCCAAATCCTGGGACAGCATACCCACGAGGGCATCCTTTATAAAGGAAAAGAAGTATATTTTGAACAAATAAAAATAAGATCCTTTACAGAGTGGGTTGATGAATGTTCTAGCACCCAGAAACATGGCAGGCAGGAAGGGAATGCCCTCAGTGGCCAGGCAAAGTCATCAATGGCCGGTCCACTTGCAGCTTGTTAAGGAACACCGGGCTGGTGACCACGATGGTGACCATCAGGGAGGGAGGAGGCCTGTGGTGCCTTCATCTGAAATGGTATAGCAGGCCACACGAAGCCCAACTCCAACCCAGGACAATGGCTCCCTTAGAAAAATAAGTCCAAAGGAAGGAAAGGGCTTCCTAAGAATTCACAAATAATACTCACTTCGTTCCCTTCCAAGAAAACAGCCTTTTGGGGTTGAAAACTTTCTCAAATCGTTTTATTTTGTATGTGCTCATCCTAGATTCAATTGTAAAAAGAAACATTTTTCAGAGCAAGCCATTTTAGGACCTCTTAAGAGTTAGCATAAACACAGGAAATAACTCGGGATCTGAGTGTTGGACTAGCCTTGTGAGGTGAGGGCTCCAGCTGGCCCAGGCTGTCAGGGGCAAACCCTCCACCACTGAGTGACCACAAGCACTGGGGCAAGTGACTTAGTCCCCAGAGTCTCAGTTTCCTCACTGGCACAATGGTTAAAATAACAGGACCATTAGAAAGATTAAATGAGTTGATTTATGGAAGTAAAGTGCTTAGCCCTGATGTTTATAGCAAGATTATCCACAACAGCTAGACTATGAAAGAGTCCATCGACTAACGAATAGATAAGAGGTGGTCTATAGCCATGGAATATTACTCAGCCATCAAAAAATATGAACTCTTGCCATCTGCAATGACGCAGATGAAGCTAGCAAAATAAGAGAAAGACAAATACCATATGATTTTACTCATATGTGGAATTTAGGAAACAAAACAGATGAACATAGAGGAAAGGAGAAAGGAGAGAGAGAGGGAAGCAAACCCTAAGAGACTCTTCAATAGAGAACAAACTGAGGGTTGCTGGAGGGAGGTGGGGGGGGTCGGCTAGATGGAGGATGGGGATTAAGGAAGACCCTTGTGATGATAAGCATTGGCAATATACATAAGTGATGAATCACTAAATTCTATTCCTGAAACCAGTATTACACCATAGGTTAACTAACTAGAATTTAAATAAAAATTTGGAGGAAAAAATAATACAATACTTAAAACTGACTGACACATTGTAAGCACTATGTAAAATACTATTTACAAAAGTTGAAATGGTCTTGTTTTCTGAGTCCCAAAGAAAATAATTGGTCATTAATTGTAAGCTTCAAGTTCATCACCTACGGGCACAGACAAATCATTTATTCAACAGAGATTCATTAAAGGTGTACATTGTGCAAGACAAAAATCTTCACCCTATGGAGTTCATGCTCTTAGGGCTTCCATCTTTCAAGGACAACAAATGTCTACCCCCTCCCCCAGCACAAATAAGGCTCTCACCTGAATGGTGGCAGGTTTAAAGCTCTAGTTAATGAAGCTCTCAGGGGCAATGCTTCACTGAACAACTTACTGATAGTGGAAGCCAATGTCATGGTTGCCAGCAACCACCTTCAGCTGCACGTGACGTGGGTGTCTGAATATTTTCCGAAATCGCTGCACATCATCTGCCCAGGCCTATGGGGAAAACGGATCACTGCTGAGACCCAGAGAACCTCTCTTCCCTGTGGCTAAAAAAAAAAAAAAAAAATGCTCCCTATTCTGATGATGAGACATTAAATTCCCCCTCCAAATCAGATGCCCAGAGAGTTAATGTAGAACTTAGAATGTCTTTTTTTTTAACTTTTTTAAAATAGATTTTATTTATTTGAAAGAGAGAATGAGAGAGAGAGACCACAAGATGAGGGAGGAGGGTCAGAGGGAGAAGCAGACTCCCTGCTGAGCAGGGAGCCCAACGGGACTCCATTCTGGGTCTCTAGGATTACCACCTGAGGCGAAGGTAGTCACTTAACCAACTGAGACACCCAGATGCCCAAGAACCTAATTTCTAATTCTATGTCACACTGCATTTTCTAAGACTTAATATTTCAATGATTTAATTTGATGCCAGCTTTTAATTAAATGGTATTCCCCCATATTAAAACATTAGATGGCAATTATATACCCATTATTTTAAGATCCCCTAAAAAGATCCCCTGAAGCCCATGCATGGACCCCAGGTTAATAATCACTCCAGACTGGGACACACTGTGAAAACAGGCTTGTAGAAAATGTCCAGTAAATTCACGTGTCTCAACCAAAACAAAGATGAGCACATCCCTCATTTTATCATTTCCCTGTGGCTACCACTGTGGGAAAGAGAACAGATAGAATGTAGAGGAAAAAAAGACAAAATCCAACAAATATTTCAAAATTATTCGGACATTTACTTTAACTATTAAAGCTTGAGAATTATGTTTGTATCATTCTGGCTCTTATTAAGTCGAAAAACATCAACTGGACAGACACAGGAAAGACAATACGGAGTTGGAGAGTAATCAACTTTATCCTAAGAGTTTTAAGTAAGGCCCAAACCGAGAAACATGCTGGAGAGAAAGTTCTTCAATACATTTACAAAAACTTCACTTTAACAGATAGTATTTAAAGTTAAGATAAGATAAAAGCAGAATAACATAAAATTAGAAAAACAAAAACAGGGGTGCTGGGTGGCTCAGTCAGTTAAGATCTGCCTTCCGCCCAGGTCAGGATCTCAGGCTCCTGGGATTGAGCCCCATGTCAGGCTTCCTGCTCAGTGCAGGGCCTACTTCTCCTTTTCCCTCTGCCCCTCCACCCCCACTTGTGATTTCTCTCTCTCTCTCTCTCAAATAAATAAATAAAAACTTAAAAAAAAAAGAAAAACATAAAAACATAAAATGCTACCCTCAATTTGTAAAAGCAACATATACATCCAACTTCATTTTATAACTAGTTGCTTGTTACATATACTATTTCCATTATCTCATATTTAATTATGAGACCCTATAAACAGTGGCTTGTCTTTTTTTTTAAGATTTTATTTATTTATCTGACACAGAGAGAGCAGAAGCAGGGGGAGCGGTACACAGAGGGAAAGAAAGAAGCAGGCTCCTGGCTAAGCAGAGAGCCTGGTGAGGCACTCAATCCCAGGACCCTGGGATCATGACCTGCGCTAAAAAAAGACATTTAACTGACTAAGTCACCCAGGCACTCCAAACAGTGGGTTTCTAATCAGATCTGGACCAAGACTTTCTTTGTAAAGCTTTTGGATTATCCTGGGAAATGATAATGGCTTTTTAAAAAATCTCTCACCCCAGTGCAAACTGGTGCAGCCACTCTGGGAAACAGTATGGAGGTTCAGTTAAAAACAGAGCTACCCTACCACCCAGCAACTGCATTACTAGGTATTTACCCAGAGGATACAGACACAGTGATTCGAAGGGGCACCTGCACCCCAATGTTTATAGCAGCAATGTCCACAGTAGCCAAACTATGGAAAAAGCCCAGATGTCCAATGACAGGGGAATGGATAAAGATGGGGTACACACACATATAAACACAATGGAATAGTCCTCCATCATCAGAAAGAATGAAATCTTGCCATTCGCAACAATATGGATGAACTAGAGGGTATTATGCTGAGCAAAATAAGTCAGTCAGAGAAAGACAAATAACCACGACTTCACTCATATGCGAATTTAAGAAATAAAACAGAGGATCATAACAGAAGGGAAGGAAAAATAAGATGGAAACAAAGAGAAGGAAACAAACCATAAGAAAACTCTTAACTCTAGGAAACAAACTGAGGACTGCTGGACAGGACGGGGGGTGGAGGGCCATGGGGTAACTGGGTGATGGCATGTGATGCAACGAGCACGGGGTGTTACATGCAACTGATGAATCACTGACCTCTACTGATGAAACTAGTAATATACTCTATGTTAATTACATTGAGTTTAAGTTAAAAAAAATTTTTTTTAAATATCCCACCCCACAAAAATACCTTCTAAAACCATTTATGACCAAACATTTTCATAAGCAGCAAAATAGCTTTTTTCTATTTTCCATTAATTCCAGGAATATAGTAAGTAAAATACTGGACAGCTAAGGTGAGAACAGCCCTTCTCTTTAGTTATAGAAAGGCTTATGTCACCTCAACACCCAGATGGAGGCCCCTGAAGGCACAAGAACCTCACACCAGGTCCCTGAGACTCCTTCTGCTAAGAGGAGGGGCGCCTAGGTGGTGCAGTCCGTTAAACATGCAAATCTTGATTTCAGCTTAGGTCATGATCTCAGAGTTGTGAGATCAAGCCCCATGTTGGGCTCTGCACTCTGCACAGAGTCTGCTTGAGTTCCTCTCTCCCTCTCCATCCGTTCCTCCCCGAGCTCACTCTCTCTCTAATAAATTTAAATTTAAAAAAAAAAATTTAAGAAAAGGAGAGTAGCAGTCACATTTATAGCACAATTCTCATAATTTCATGGCTAAGTAATCCAGTGTAAAGTCAAATTACATTTCAATATGTATTTTATAATTTTGGTGACAAGCAAATTTACACACCTTGCCTCTTTTTTCCCTTTCCCGAGAGGTTCATGGGAATGTGCATTCCAGCAAAGCGAGTTCTGACTAATCTACCTGTTTCCTACGTAAACAGATACAGCTGATAGTCAAACAAGTTTGAACTGTGTATGTCAAGTTATACATGGACTTGTTTTTTTATAAAGATAGTACAGTACTGTAAATGTATTTTCTCTTCCTTACGATTTTCTTAGCAACATTTTCTTTTCTCTAGCTGACTTTATCCTAAGATTACAGAATAGAATACATGTAACATGTAACATACATGCTGACTGTGTTATCAGCAAGGTTTCCAGTCCACAGTGGGCTACTGGTAGTTAAGTTTTGGGAGAATCCAAAGGTATACACAGATTTTTGACTGCATAAGGCTGGCGTCCCTAACCCAGCATGGTGCAAGCGTCAACTATCTATGATTAGCCAGCCTAACTCAAGACTGGCAGGAGATACGGATCCTAACAATCATCAAGATAGACTACACGTGGGGCACCTGGGTAGCTCAGTAGGTTAAAGCCTCACATCGGGCTCTCTGCTCAGCAGAAGCCTGCTTCTCCCTTTCTCTCTCTCTGCCTACTTGTGATCTCTGTCTGTCAAATAAATAAATAAAATCTTAGGAAAAAAAAAAGAATAAAATTAAAAAAAAAAAAAAGATAGACTACACATGTTTAATGTTGGTGCTGAGCAAAACCTCCAACCCTCCCAGATACTGCTTCATGGATTTTCTGGGCTCCCTGCCCTGGACCCTCAAAGCAGGATTAGGGTGGCTGGATCACGGGCTCCTACCTGGGGGGAACTCCACTTCCCTTCATCAAAGACATCCCCTAGAATGAAGACAACTTCGGGCTGCAACAACCACAGAGCCGTCTGGAAAGCTCTCTCCATTTGCCATTCCCTAAGGTCAACAGAGAAAAGCACAGCATCAGTCTCTTTCTTATGTGGAGCCTAGATCTGTCTTACGAGGCCATTTAAAAAGTCAACCAAATGGTCCCATTCTCCTTCCACAGCCTCACCCCTGCATTCCCTTCCCACGCTAGCAAGGGTCAGAGTCCACGTGTGATTCAGTGTGGGAAATAAAGGGTCTGAGGGAGAGTCGGGCTGCCCCACCTGCGCATCTTAAAAGCTGACTTCCCCCCATATGGCACCCACAGATCAGACGCCACACTGCACCCCAGAAGCCATCCCTCAGTCATAACAAGCCCCAAAGGTCAGGGAGAGCTCAACGCAGCTTCCAAAGACACTCAGTGTAGACTAAGTTGACACCCCAGTGAGGAGAGGATAGCATCTGCCTCAACTTCCACTCTTGAAGGACCTCAACTTCTTGCCTGCCTTCAGAACTGGGGGAAGATAATGGGAGAATCAGACTAGCCAATACCAAGACTGTAAACCCTGCAGACTTCAGATATCCAAGGAATCACCCCATAGGTAAGACAAGTGAATGAAGAGAGCCTGGGGGGAGCTTGGGTGGCTCAGTTGGTTAAGCATCTGCCTTTGGCTCAGGTCATGATCCCAGGGTCCTGGGATGGAGCCCCACATTCGGCTCCCTAGTTCAGTGGGGAGTCTCCTTCTCCCTCTGCCCCACATTCCCCCCTCAGCTCGTGCTCTCTCTCACTCACTCTTTCTCTCAGATAAATAAAATCTTAATTAAAAAAAAAAAAAAAGCCTGTGCTCTTGAACCTGACAGGCAATGGCTTAACCCCCCAGCTCCACCCATAACCCCCTGTACGGCCTTGAGAACGTCACCCACTCCCTCTGATTCCTATTCTTCATTAGTGAGCAGGAATTGTAAAACGTTCTCTCACAGGGCAGTTAGTAGGAATTCAAACATCCACACTTTCTCGAACCACCCTCCCTTCTCCCTGACCGACTCTGACCCGTGTCATTCTCCTAAGGATCCCAATTCTTCCCTCCTTTTTAAGGCATCATCCCGGCTGTTTCTCCCCTACCAAAGGGGACTGTGACATCCCAGGGCACAAATAGGAAAAGGTAATTTGAGGTCAGCAAGGACCATGCAGGCCCCATGTAAACTGCTTGCTGCATGTGCACACCTTCACTCAAGATACCCCCAAAATTCAGTGCTGTTTTTCTTGATGAATGTAATTCACCCTGGAGAAGAAAGATCTAGAAACAGCAGCAATAATGGGCAGGGAAGAAAGCTCAACTGGTAAGGTCCAAATAGAAGCAAAGGAAGTCTCACCCTGGCCCTTATTTCATGCCTCCTATGGTTTAAAACTCTTGAGTACAGAAGGACGGCAGCCCCTCCAGCTTTCCTTTTTCTGTCTTGCCTTCTCCTCTCACCCCTGGGGACATTACACCTCTTCCTCCTCCCACTCAGCATAAGGTTCATCCAAATCCAGACTACTCCAAGGGTATTCCTGCTCGCAAGGATAAAGACCTGTTTAGAGATGATGAGGAAAAGAAGTCAAGGAGGGGATTCTGAGGGGCAAGAAGAGAGCTCTGCTGCCATGATGGCTGAAAGCCCCATCAGTCACCTTCTGGTGGGCCTAACTCGTAATAGCCAAAAGGTAGACGTATCCATCCACAGAGAAACGGAGAAACAAAACATGGTCTAAATACACAACATAATTATCCCTCCGCCTTAAAAAGGAAGGAAATTCTGCCACATGCCCCAACACAGATGGACCTAGAGGACATTCTGCTCAATGAAATAAGCCAGACACAAGAGGACAAATACTGTATGACTCCACTTGTATGAGGTCCCAGAGGAGTCAGATCTATGGAGACAGAACAGCATGGCGGGTGCAGGGGCTGGGAGAATGGGGAAAGGGGAGTCAGTACTTAGCAAGGACCAAGTTCCAGTTTGGGAAGAAGAAAAGGTTCTAGAGCTGGCCGGTGGGGACGGCTGCCCAACACTGTGAATGTATGTGATGCCACTGAAATATACACTTAAAACTGTTGACCATGGTAACTTTCACGTTATGTGTATTTTACCACAATTAACTTTTTTAAAAAGCATTCTGATGGGAAAGCAGGTGGACTCTGCTTGGGCCGGTCTAAGTTGAACAAATAGGACCTGATCCTCTCTCCAGAGTGACAGCCACAGACCTGCTTGGCTCTGGCTGCCCAGAGTGCACAAAAACCGAGTGGGCTCCAAACAACACCCCACTGACTGTGAGAGGGGACCACCACCAACCCAGGTATGTTTCCTCCGCTGCCCAGGGAAAGGGGAAGCCAACCTTGGCTCACCACACCCGTGTGCCAGACCTTGTTGGGGGAATTTTCCTCACACAGGCTGCAAAGTCTCTGGTATTGAACAGTTACAAACAAGGAGGCAGAGACAGGTTTGGAAAAGCCCTAGGAACTTGTCCAAAGTCACAAGACTTTAATCCAGACGTGCCTTCCAAGTCCTGGGTCCTTAAAATAAGAGAGGCTCTGCAAACACTATGTTCAAGGAAAAATCAAAGGCCCCATATGTCTCTCTTTGAGAGGAAAATAACTAACGACAAGCCTGACCTAGAAGGAGAGGGATCCGCCTTTGGTAAAATTTCAGAAAGATTCCTAATTGTAGCTCCTACCTTCGTAATTTGTCTAGCCAATGGCCTTGTACTTCCCCAAGCAAGTGGGTATCAGCCAAAAACATGGCTTTCAGAGTCTTTTGTCCACTGTTACGAGCCAGAGTTTTCACCTCAGGCCAATCACACCGAAAGATCACCAAATAATAGATTAAAAATTCACAAAATAGAAGCGTGGCAAAGACAACAGCTGTGAGTTTCAACAGCAGGAAACTCCTTCTCTTGAGCAGACACAGATCCTGGTTTCCAAACCCCAGCCTGATTGGAGCCATGTCTCCTGCCCAGGAGTCGCCAGCATCCAGGAGTGAAATCCATCAAGAACTGACCGCAAGAGAAGTGTGGAATCTTGGGTAAGGCGCATCCGGTGTCCAGGGCTTAGCCATGGACCTGTGGAGAAAACAGAAAGGATCAGATTACATTTCTTAACACTGCCATAAACTCTCCTTCTAGTAAGAACTAATAAGTTACAGAATCCCACCGATATTCCCGAATAAATTAAGTGTCCAGTACTTGTACGAGGCTAATAGGTCAGATTACGCTGTAAGAATGATCCTCCCACTAACACGATAAAGTTTGACTACCACTTTGGAAGTCATTAAATAAGAATCTACCCAAAGGATGTTAAAGTAGGACACATAATGGAACAGTCGAAAAATATTAATAAGTGTAACGTGACTCCCAAAACTTACTCCCACCCGTCCCTGACCTTACAAATCAACAGGCCAAGAAGCCCCCTGTATCATGTTGCCTCTGGTGTGAATTCCTCACTTTTCCATATCGTTTTCCACAAAAGAACTGAATATTCACAATGTGCTTTAGGGATGCAAGGACTACATGCCACTCTGGGCTCAGAGGCCGGGTCTCCCAGAGCCCCCCATCTGTCAACATGGCAGCTGGGTTATATGTTTCCATGAACGTGGGTTTTCATCTGCATATGAGCCTTAAAATTTGGGATGGCCTTCGGTTAGAAGACATCTGTGGGTAGCGGTTTCTCAATGGGAAACTTAAGGTGGTTATGGATTCTTCTGAATCATAAATGAGGTTTGTTTCCTATTTAAAAAGAAAAAAAAAGCAGCCACTTTTGACACATCTGAAGAGCAAGGCTGGCATGAGGATGACCTGAAATGGACTTTAGGAAGTGACATGCTGGGGGCGCCTGGGTAGCTCAGTGGGTTAAGCCTCTGCCTTCAGCTCAGGTCATGATCTCAGGGTCCTGGGATCGAGCCCCACATCAGGCCTTCTGCTTCGCAGGGAGCCTGCTTGCCCCTCTCTCTCCGCCTCTCTGCCTACTTGTGATCTCTGTCTGTCAAATAAATAAATAAAATCTTAAAAAAAAAAAAAATGTTACTGAAGTTCCTCATCTTGGGCTCCAGACAAGGATCTTAAAGGGCAGTGACCTGAAAGCTGCAGAGAACTCTTTTGGGAGAAGCTCCAGAAGTCTCTCAGTGGAGGCGTGGAGGACCACTGACCACAGATCTTCACTGAGCGATAAATATAGAAAATCCCTTTCTGGGGGGGATGCTTTTCTAAGATGAATCCAGGAAACCTCATATGGTTGATTGACAGGCAAGGAGTCAAGAGCACACTTCTCCTGTAGGGTCCAAAATAATCTCCGCAAAATTCAGTTTCCAGAACTTTCCACATTTGCACAGAAGCCTGAGTCCCTATAAGAGTCCCTAGCTTACGGCACGGTGGCATTCTATATAACCACCAACTATCAAGATACGGAAAATTTTTTAACTCTTACCTAAAGAAAAATAAATGGAGGCAAACATGTATTTTGAGCCTTTAACAGAAGTTTAAAACATAACCTCAGAATTGAAAGTGATAAATGATGGATGCCTTCCCGCTCCCCGCAATGGAGCACTGACAGCTGTCGGCCCTAGCACGGGGTCCTCACCTGGTCTGTGGCTTTTTGGAAAAGAAGAAATGTCAGGATCATAGGGCAGGAATGGCTCCAGGCCCAAGTGATCACCCCTCCTCTGCCTGTTCTCCAATGGTGGTGTTTACAGTAAATACTTGATTAAAGAGGCAACAGGACACGAATGCCAGATTGTAACTGTGTCCTTTCAGATCAAGAGGTCAAAGGCAGCGGTGCATGTAATCTGGGATCCAACGCTCTTCCTGCAGTTCTCCTCCAAACATCCACACTACCTTCATCAAGTGGGTCTGACCACCAGTGACCACATGCCACACCCTGTCCTCGTCCCTAGAACCTCCTCGCCACCTCGGTTTCTCAAAGGACAGACAACGCGTGCCCCATAACTGGAATCACTGGACACTTTATTTTCCCACTGGGAACATCTTTGAGAGGGAAAGTGGCATTAAAGATAAAAAATGGGGCAGTGGTGCAAACCATGACAGCCCCAGGTCACTCGGGGAGCACGGTCCCCCCTGTGCTTGATTCCATTCCATGAGGCTAGCACTTAACTGAATGCCAGTAGGGAGAAAGTAATGCATCTCCTGCTATCACCCATCTATCAGCAATCAAAGTCCAGAATGTGGTATAAATGCCCCTAGTAACCATTCACTGGGGAGACCAAGGACAGGGATCCTCTCTTAAAAGAGAGAGAACCTCAAAGGACTCATGAATATATTTCTTGATACCATCTCATTTCCTTTGGTTTGATTCAATCAAATGTATCAGAAGCAACCATTTGGTTTTACTATCTTTCTTTCAAAAGGCCCAAGAGTGTTCTGAAATCCTAACCACAGCAGCTGAAACTTCCCCCAAACCCTCCTGTTTCCTCAGGCTTTAGAGGGTGAGGGGAGAGGAAGGAGCCCAGCCTTCTGGGGCCCGCCCTACAATTCTCTTAACACGCACACCTTTGCTCTTTAGAGGCTCCGAGCTCCCTGAGCTGAAAACCAGAATGATGACTTCGTAATTGCTCCTCTACACCCACTTCCTTTAATCTAAGAAGCCGGTGTCAGCAGTGATAACTAAGATCCAGAACACGGAACACGACCAGGGGAGAGGAGCAGCCTGGAACCAGGCAGGCCCAGGCTGCAGTCCAAGTGCAGCACACAGTGGGGGTCAGGGGTTGAGAGGACTCAAAACTGCAGTCTGCCAGCTTCCCTGGACCCTTGGGAGCAGGACGGGACCCACAGAGACAAGCCAGGGCTTTGCACTCAAGATCGGTCCGCCCAGCTCTCCCCCAACACGGCTTCCCTGTACCTTTGATCCCACTGAGGCTGGGCCTGGCCTGTGCCACCAGGCGGACAGCTTAGATAAGGAGCGCAAACAAACAAAAGGTTGGAGAAGTCCCTGCCCTTCCCTCCAGCATCTGTGTTCTTTTTTCCATAAAGATATTTAAAAAAAAAAAAAATACCCTACACAAAGCCCTTCAGCCAGAGGACTAAGAATAAAGAAAGGGAAGGAAGAAGGAAGGTAGGATGGAAGGAGGGAAGGCGGGAGTGGAGGAGGAGAGAAAGACGGAGGGGAGGGAGGGAGGGACAAGGAAGGCAGGGGATCCATTCTCTCCCCAGAAATGGCACAGCCAGGCCAGCATGCCAGGCACACACTAGGTAATGAGACATCGCTCCTACCTTAGGGTGGCTTCCAGATAGGTATCAAGGGACCTTCTCTTTGTGCTCAGGCTGACCTCAGGGACAGCACCGCTCCCTCATTTTCTGACGCAGCTGACCTGTGGAAAGAGCACGCTGACTGCTAGGAATTGGGAGCAACGGACATTTCCAGCACAGCGACAGTCACGGCACAACAGAGCCTACCTCTCTTGGCAGGAAAGAGGAAAACCTCAGAGCTCTCTAGAGAACCAGCCACTTCCCCCTCTTCAGTATTTTATCCTAGGTTACGATACCCACCAGCAGAAAAGAGCTATGCTGAACCAGAAAAAGCCCAACCTAAAACTTTGCTCTGTGACCTTGGGCAAGCCACTTACCCTTTCTGAGCCTCATAATTGGGGTCACAGTACCTGCCTCCTATGATGTCATGGGATTGCTAGAAATGATGCTCACCAATTTTTTAAGCAAAGCTCTTTCCAGGAGGCAAGTATGGCAGGATTAGATTAGAGAGCAAGCCTTCCAGTCTGGTGAGTTCAGAAGCAATAGGACTTGATTTAAATAGCCACAGGAGGAGAGAGGAGGGAGAATGAAGCCCAGGGGAGAAGAAAGGCCAGAAATGGGAGAGAATCTAGAAGCTGTGGCCATTGTTCTCCACTCATTTACTGAGTTGGACTAATACTTGACATCCCAAGTCCCTAGACCCTCTGCTCACTAAATGTAAACCTGAACTTTAATCTCAACCATAATAAGCAGGTCAAGGACTTAAAATCCCCATAGCCACACAGCCCGAATAACTAAAATGCTACTCTGTCTTCCACGTCTAGGCTCTTACAGGCCAAAGGAGAGAAACTAGGTTCTTTCCAAGAATGATAGGAGGGTCCGGTCCTTCATCGGAGCACTGTGGAGCACTCTACCCAGGCCTGAATATGGAGAGCTCTTCTGCCTGCTCTTCCTGCCTACTCAATGAATACATGGGGGGAAAAAATGTGTTTATCCATCTTTTATCACTAGATGTAAAACTAGGCCATGAGTGGTTTCAATAAAGACAATATTCTCTGTGTGTTGCCTTCTTGTGGTTAAGTGATTAAGAATTCTGTCCATATTAGACACTTCCCTTTGCATTAGCAAGTTTGGGTTTAAAAAGCAAAATTACTAAATCATTACTGTTTTCACACACACACACACACCCGCCCTGAGGTGAATCTGTCAATTTTATTGAGCTCATCAAATGATATACCAGCAGGAAAACTATACAGGCCTCCCAACACTGTGTGTCCTGGTCATGATAGAAAACATATTTCTTACTGCACTAGTCTGTAAGCTCCCTAAGTTAGGGACCCTACCTGGTCCATCCTCACATCCCCCTTCTGCTTGCGCCCAGGGTCCTGCCTGCAAACAAATGATTAATAAACATCTGTGGAGCGAACAGCCTACATTTATTCTTACTGTCCCAAAACTTTTAGAGTTACAAACATTTATTAACACTCCTTTGGTCTTTAAATGCTTCACAGTCTCCAGCCATAGAAGCAGGAGGAACAAATAGAGAAGATGTTCTGTTCCCCTTGGTCAGAGGGCCAGGCAGGATTTTAAAGACGGGCAAACAGGGACACAGAACACATTTTCTCACAAGCCCCTACGTGGAAGTCTTCCAAAGGAAAACCTTTTATGGCTGCTGCCCTGGGGCACACAGAGAAGGAAACTGATCAGTGTTTAAAGTAAAAAACAAACAAACAAACAAAAAACCAGCTAAAGAAAAATAACTGACATGTTATTGTTCAAGAATAGCTCTTTTAAATTATAGCATAAAATATTAATATATAATACATGCATGCCACATTCTATATTGCCTAACACATAAAAATAGCAGTTGCAATTCCTAACTAGGAACAAAATATTTTATCCAGTGACTGAGTTTTAACTTCAAAGCCACCATTAAATACCTAAATTCCCTCCACCCAAAAACAGCATTAAAAAATGTTTAATATGCCCCGACCTATAGTTTGGCCTCTTACTTGTCCATTATCTTCAATATACTCCCACAGTGTCAACCATGGCTATTCGAATGTTAAATGTTCCACCTTCGATAAGACGGATTTTTTTTTTTTTTTGGTCTATCTACATCAGTAAATCAGAAAATGAGAGGCGCCTACAATTTAATACCCGGGCCTTATGTAATCGTCACTCTCCAGCCAATAAATGACTAATTCCCAGAACCCCGTATTTTTCAATCAGCCAACTCTCAATCCTAAAAAGGCAAGGGGGTTCCAGTTTGCAGTAACAAGAAATAGCAATGAACCTAGAAGCCTAAATATTACAGCACGGTCGTTAGAATCCTCGGAGAATCCTGCTTGCAGTGGGCGGCCAGGCACCCAGCGAGGCAGATCGGAAAGTAAAGCCTCTCGGGGGAGCCTGGCCCCCACCACCTCAACGGGTCCTCCGGCCCGCGGGGCATCCCCGCCACTTCCGGTTTCCGCGCACGTGGCACAGAGGGTTTCGCCCCCCACCCCACCCCCCGCCATCATCCCTGGCACCTCGGGCGGGCGGGAGACACTGAGTGGCCGCGAAGATCTCGGCCCCGCCCCAGGCCCCGCCCCCTCCCGGGTCGAGGCGGAGACCCCCGCTGGCCTCCGCGGGCGTCTGGTACAGTGGCTGCAAGAAAGCAAAACCTTACCCTCGGCTGCATCTTCCTCAACGATTCGGCTGTTCGTGCCATCCTTGCTGTCTTCTAGACTTTCTTCTCCGCTCAAGGCCTTAGCGCCGAGGCTCCCTGCAACCCCCCGCCGAGCAACGTCCGAGAAGGCGAGGGGCGCGCCGAAGCCGCGAAGCTGTTGGCGCCCGGCAGGGGGCACGCCGGCCGGTGCGGATCGGGGCGGCCCCGGCGCCCCGCTCGTGGACAGGGCGGCCCCGAGTTCGCTTCCCAAGTGCACGGCCGCGGCTCGAGGCGGGCTCCGCGAGCCTTCGGAGCGCCCGGGCCCCGCGTCCCAGGCGCTGGGGGCGGGGCGGCAGGAAGCCGAGTCGGGGGCGTCCGCGCGGCGCGGACGGGTGGCGCTGTGTGACGGCTCGCTCCTGACGCCCTCCCCGAGTGCCGCGCGGCTCTGCCTTACCTTGCTTGGTCTTCTCCAGGGCGGGACAAAGTGCCTTCGGGGAGTGTGTGATGAGTTTATTGGGGCTTTCTTTCTCTTTTTCTTTTTTTTTTTAACCAGTGTTACTTAATATAATATGACCTGGTCTAATTTCCAAAGAGCTTTCACATCCATTATTTAAAATAATACTCAAAATAACCGTGTAAATCAAGAGCAAGAAACTCATTACCCCGCGTTACGAGAAGTAAACTGAAGCCCCAAGCAATAACACACAGGGGCTTCCAACCAACCCGTTCTAGCATGTTTTTGCACATCTGTGAGTATATATACGGAGGTATACTAGAAATCCTATAGAAAGCAACCAGCAAAATGCCGGGTATCTAGGAAGCAAGCAGTAAATGGTAGTATTATTATTAATTAAGAATATTGTAATATTTTCAAATATGTCCAGACGAACAATTTTACCATCACGAAAACTGGGACAGCGTATGTGTACCAACACGATGCAATAGGAAGTATGCAGCATTGACTGAAGTATTCTTGTTGACTAGAAAAGCAAAAGAAAAAACAAATGTGAATCCGGTAAAGCCTAGAACTAACTTCAAGCTTAAGGAACTATAGGGACCAGTGAACAGGTTAAATCACATCACCAGGAAAACAACCAGCTGGATCCAGAATGTGCAAGTTCTACAGACCAAATGACCTAACTTCTTAATTCAACAAATAAATAGCATCAGAACAAAAGGAGAGAGGAGGAAAGGGAGATTTGTTATAAAGCAGGCCTGAGAGACACATTAGCCAAATGCAAGTTTGTGAGCCTTGTTTGGGTCATAAGACAAAACTACCTTAAAAAAAAAAAAAAAAAAAACACACCTAAAGATTGGGGAATGCCTGGGTCACTCAGTTGTTAAGCGTCTGCCTTCAGTTCAGGTCCTGATCCCAGAGTCCTGGGATGGAGTCCTACATCAGGCTCCCTGCTCAGAGGGAAGCCTGCTTCTCCTTTAGCTGGGACCCTGCTTCTCCCTCTCACACCACTCCCCACCCCAGTGTTCCCTCTCTCACTGTATCTCTCTCTGTCAAATTAATTTTTAAAAAATAATAAATAAATAAATAAAGATCAGGAAACCTGGATATGGAATGGATGTTAGATGCCACTAAAGAATTATTGGAGGGGCGCATGGGTGGCTCAGTGGGTTAAAGCCTCTGCCTTTGGCTCAGGTCATGATTCTGGGGCCCTGGGATCGAGCCCTGCATTGGACTCTCTGCTCAGTGGGGAGCCTGCTTCCTCCTCTCTCTCCGCCTGCCTCTCTGCCTGCCTCTCTGCCTACTTGTGATCTCTGCCTATCAAATAAAATCTTAAAAAAAAATTTAAAAAAAAAATTATTGGAGATTTTGCTATGATAATGCTATTGCGGTTATTATTTTTTTTTTAGATTAGAGAAACTATTTACAGCCAGATTATATGGTTTCTGGAATTTGCTTTAATATTCCAGAAAATTAAAAAACAAGAAAGTAGGAGAAAAAACAATATTGGCAAAATGTTGATAATGTTGAAGCAGGAGGTAGGTGTGTGGCATAGTGGTTGGAAGAAACAATGCCCCCCACCCCCGGTAGAGACATCCACATCCCACTCCCTGGACCTGTGAATATGCTACTTTACATGGCAAATGGGACCTTGCAGGTGTGATTAAGGATAAGGACTTTGAGGTAGGAGTTTCTCCTGGGTTATCCCACTGAATCCAATCTAATCACTGGGGCCTTACGTGTGGAGAACCTTTCCCCACTATGAGAGTCAGAGGGGATAACACAGGAGTGGGTCTATCTGTTCAGGCTGCTATAACAAAACAGTACCCACTGGGTGGCTTCTAAACAACACAAATGTATTTCTCCAACTCTTGGAAGTTGGAAGTACAAGATCAAGGTACCAGCATGACTGCTGAGACAGTGGTGAGATCCGCCTTCCTAGTTCATCACCAACACCTTCTCACAGTGTCCTCACATGGGGGAAGGGGTGAGGGAGCCCCAGGAAGTCTCTTTCATAAGAACACTAATCCCATTCATGAAGTCTCCACCCTCATGACCGACACCTCCCAAAAGCCTCACCTCCAAGTACCATCACATCTGTCATTAGGATTTCAACATGGGAATTTTGAAGGGACACGAACATTCAGTCCAGAGCAGAGGGTCAGAGAGATGCAGCCTGACAAGGATTCTACCTGCTGTTAATGATATTGAAGATGGAGAAAGGGGACACAAGCCGAGGAATGTAGAAGCTGGAAAAGGCAAGGAAATGGATTCTTTCATAGAAGCACCTTGATTTTAGCCCAGTGGGACTTCAGTTGGAAGAACAATAACAAATTTGTGTTGTCTTACATCACTAAATTGGTGGTGATTTGTTGCAGCAGCAATGGAAAACCAATATAAGCAATCATTGTATGGCTAAAGTTTTTTGTTAGGTTTGTTAAGTCCACAAAACACAGACCTAACTGAGAAATACATTGTAGAAGTATTTCATTTATACCTGAAGCATAACCGAATCTGACCTAACAAAATTATTATGATGCATTTTAATTTGAAAAAGAACTATATGGGGGGCGTCTGGGTGGCTCAATGGATTAAACCTCTGCCTTCAGCTCAGGTCATGATCTCAGGGCTCTGGGATCGAGCCCCGCATTGGGCTCTCTGCTCAGCAGGGAGCCTGCTTCCTCCTCTCTCTCTCTGCCTGCCTCTATGCCTACTTGTGATCTCTCTCTCTCTCTGTCAAATAAATAAAAATCTTTAAAAAAAAAAGAAAAGAAAAAGAACTATATGATATAATGCCCTTTTAAAAGTATCATTGAGAGTCTAACTGTAAATGAAGGGATGGAGAAACATTTATCATGCAAGTATAAGTGACAAGAAACCTGGGATACTACCACTTATATTGGACAAAATAGACTTTAAGACAAAGACTGTACTAAGAGACAAAGAAAGACACTAACAATCCAACAAGAAGGTAGAACAACTATAGAGATTCATGCACCCAACAGGGGCCACCCACATACATAAAGCTGCCAATAACAAACATAAAGAAAGTAATTGATAGTAATACAATAATAGTAGGGGACTTTAACACCCCACTTACATCAATGGAGAGATTATCCAAACACAAAATCAAGAAGGAAACCGTGGCTTTGAATGGCACCATGGACCAGGTGGATCTAACATACATTTAGAACATCCCCTCCTAAGACAGCACAATACACGTTCTTTTCAAGTGCACATGAAACATTCTCCAGAATAGATCACATGTTAAGCCACGAAACAAGCCTTAACAAATTCAAAAAGGTTAGAGTCACATCATGTATCTTTTCCAACCACAATGCTATGAAACTAGAAATCAACTACAAGAAAAAAATGTGGAAAGAGCACAAAGACATGGAGGTTAAATACCATGCTCCCAAACAATGAGTGGGTCAACCGAGAAATCAAAGAGGAAATCAAACAATATATGGAGACAAATGAAAATGAAAACACAATGGCCCAACATCTTTGGGAGGCAGCAAAAACTGTTTAAAGAGGGAAATTTACAGCAATATAGACCTACCTCAAGAAGCCAGAAAAATCTCAAAGAAACAACCTAATCTTACACCTGGCATGGCTAGAAAAAAGAAAAATGAAAAAAAAAAAAACAAAAAAAACAAAAAAAACAGTAGAAGGGAGGAAATAAGAAAGATTAGAGCAGAGGGGCACCTGAGTGGCTCAAACAAAGGTTTGCCCTAGGCTCAGGTCATGATCCCAGAGTCCTGGGGTGGAGCCCCACATCAGCTCCCTGCTCAGTGGGAAGCCTGCTTCTCCCTCTCCCTCTCCCACTCCCCTTGCTTGTGTTCCCTCTCTCACTGTGTCTCTCTCTGTCAAATAAATAAATAAATTTTTTTTAAATCAAAGCAGAAATAAATGAAATAGAAACTCAAAAAACAATAGCCCAGATGAATGAAAGCAGGAGCTTGTTCTTTGAAAAGATTAACAAAACTGATAAAACTTTAAGAAGACTCATCCAAAAAAAAAAAAGGGGGGGGGGACTCAAATAAACAAAACTAGAAAAGAAAGAGATATAACAACCAACACCGCAGAAATACAAAGGATTACAAAAAGATACTATGATAAACCAAATACCAACAAATTGGACGACCTAGAAGAGTCAAATAAATTCCTAGAAACATATAGTGTCCCAAAACTGAATCAGGAAGAAATAGAAATTCTGAACAGATCAATTACCAGTAATTAAATTGAATCAGTAATCAAAAAACTCCCAATAAGCAAAAGTCCAGGACCAGATGGCCTCAGAGACAAAGTTGAGCCATCATTTGCATTTTAACCATAATTTCCCTATAGAAAAATATTTACCTGCATCCTATCCATGGACACACTGGAGAAAAGTGAAACACATGAAGCAGAATACTCCAGAGTATTCAGATGTTAGCATTTTTTACTTCATTCACTTACGCAGCAGATACCCACAGAGTCTTTGGTCCTAGGTACTAAGTTTTCAAAGATCATTCCAGGGCTTGTGCTGTGAGATAGAGATGAGGCAGGGGGAAGAGAGAGTAGGAATCCTGACATTCAGGAGGACCTTTGTGAAGACAACGTTTTAGCTTTCTATGCTGGGTCACAAATTACCACAAACTTAGTGATTTACAGCATTCTGCTCTGAATCCCCTTCTAGCTCATGGTTGTTGGCGGAATTCAGCTGTGTGTTTATAGGACTAAGACCCCAGCTCCCAAGGCCTCCTCCTTGTTCCCTGCCACGTGTGTGGCCCTTGCCACAACATGGCAGTCACTTCTTCAAGGCCAACCAGAGAACGTTTGCCACTGTTGGGTCAGATTTACCTGACCACTT